AAAGACTATAGCACATTTTTACTTGTATCTCAAAACAAACATTCCCTAACTGCAATCAATATCACCTGATAAAGTGATATATTTATAGTCTAATACTGAACTTTTACCATCACTGCAAATGAAGCACATTCCTTAGGAAAAATATGGTGCCAAGTATTTCGCAGAACCCATATTTTTCTTGACTTCTTTCTGTTTTCTAAGAATTGGATAACAGAATTACAGATGTTTTGTTTCCTTGAAGTGATACAATTGTATATGGCTCTGCTCTTCTGTACTATAAGGTTCCAGATCAGAGCTTAGAGAAAACAGCTTTATTTTAGAGCTAAATACGTATTTGTAACTTTCCATTGTTTCTTCAGGCCAAAATAATGTTTAAAACAAAATCCTCCATGCATACAGCCTTTGATATAATTTTACTTCATAACTGAAATACACACTTCCTATTCTAATGTGAAACTCTCTAGTCTCTTTTTTTTTTCGCAATTTTTATAATGTGTGTTCTGGAGTAAAAAATGGCAACCAGCTCCAGTATTCTTGCCTGGAAAATTCCATGAACAGAGCAGCCTGGGAGGCTATAGTCCATGGGGTCACAAAGAGCTGGACACTACTAAGCATGCAGGCATGAATATGGTGTATGTTATGTAAGATATGCTTCTCATATATGATTTAGAAAATATATATGAAATCAAAAAGGAAATAATTATCATTCATAATTTCACAGCTTTCAGTTTTACTGTTAATATTTGTGTACATCTCTCCATATACTGAATGACTTCTCAGGTGTCTCAGTGGTAAAGAATCCACCTGCAATGCTAGAGACGCAAGTTCGGTCCCTGGGTCAGGAAGATCCCCTGGAGAAGGGAATGGCAACACATTCCAGTATTCTTGCCTGGGAAGTCCCATGGACAGAGGAACCTGGCAGGCTACAGTCCATGGGGTTGCAAAGAGTCTGACACAGCTTAGCGACTGAGCACACACATCACATACTGAACATAGAGATCTTCATTTCTTTATATTAATGTATGTTTTCTCTACATACTTGCATATATACATTCACTCTAGGAGTCAAAAAATAAAATAAGCCATCGTCCTGTTCTAAAGGAAATTAAGTAAAATAAAATATGATTAGGGAGAGAAAGTGAAAGTAATTAGAAAGCCTCAGATGTTTTGCTGTGAAAGTTCAAAGGAGAAATTCTCTTTGGCTGGAGGACCCGGGGAGTTAACACATGTATTTTTCTAGCTCATTGTAAAATTATGACTGCTCTGACATTTCCTGCACCCAGTGGCCTCAGGAATCAAGGGCTGCAGATATAGATACAAATATAGGCCATGCTTCCTGGCTTAGCACGATAGCAGGCACAGAGAAGGAACTCATGAAATATTTGCTGATATACAGAGGAGCGAACCAAGTTTTCCACTTTTAAACAAGTAACCATTTAATTAATCCATGCTTGAACCTGGGAAGGTACTTTAAATGACTGGTCCTTTTGAGTTTTATTTGGGCTTCACCTCACATCCTTTGGCCTCATTCTGGTAACTGACCAGTCCAGGCAAGTCCACATCTATGCAAGATGCAGAGCGGGAAGAGGCAAACTACTTCAGATGCTCCCATCCTCAGCATTGCCCATAGGCGGGTGCTGACTTATCCTGCTTTCTCAGGGTCCTCATCCCTACTGCCTGCTCAGACTGATTCTGTCTTGCTGATCTTCTCTCTTCCCTGGTGTGCCTCCAAGGTCTATTTTAGCCTTGACTGACCTAGTACTTCCAGGACTGTTTATTTCTCCAAGAGTTAATTACTTGCCTATTTAATTCTATATTGAGCTGTACTCTATGTGGACAAAATTTTAAAATAGATAGCCAAACATTGAATAAGTGATCTTGTGTCCTACACAGTCGAAGTCAATAAGCTCTGGCCCCAGGATGGGAGAGCCTGTAAGATTATCTCTCCCAGTAAAACACTTAGATTTTTAACAACTACCTTCCTCCTCAAGTCATAGTTTGTGCTTAGTCGCGCAGGTGTATCCAGCTCTTTCCGACCCCATGGACTGCAGCACACCAGACTACTCTGCCCATGGGGATTTTCCAGGCAAGAATACTAGAGTGGGTTGTCCTGCCCTCCTCGAGGGGATCTTCCCAATCCAGTGTTCGAAACCAGGTCTCCCTCATTGCAGGCAGATCCTTTACTGTCTGGGCCACCAGGAAAGTCCAAAGTCATAGTTTATGTTCTACCAAAATAATTGTGAGCATTCAAAGTAAGACCCTTAGGCTTCTAGACCTGTAATTTTTCTTCTTTTTTTTTTTCATAAATCTTTCTGCTGATTTAATCATAATCTCTGGTTATCCTCCTCTTAAGCCTTTTGAGGAAACTAGCTCAGACCCTTAAAACCACCAAGTCTTTGTAATTTAGAGGATATTCACAAGGGCACTACCAGATTTTAATTTATGGTACATCATGGCTAATGGGAATAGAAAGGGGAAACTGTTTGAAATCACAAATCTATTTCTCACTTTAGCAATTAATAATAAGCTGGGACTTTTACCAAATCACCTTTTTACCTTTCAAGTATTTCAATTGTTTGAGTATTTTGCTTAGCCCACTTTTGGATTCAGTCAATATTATTTCCTATTCAGTTAGCTTATAATGCTTATCAAGAAAAATGTTACCCCGTTTTCATCTTCTTTCACAAATTTCATTCAACTGTCCTTCTTTCTAAGGTCAGGATAATGAAAGGACTTTTGAATTCCTTTTTGTTTGTTTTGAAATTTAATTACGTCTTCTGAAGCTAGCTACAGTTTGCTTCAGCATAGGTCATGAGTGACAATATAATTACATCGCAATTGTTTGCTATCTTTAATGATACTTTACCTAATGTTTTTATGAATACAAAGAGTGGGGACCAATCAGGAAGCCATTGCAATGATTCTTCAGCCCATCATTGTCAATTTGCCTTTGTACTTCAGTTCAGAATATTGCCCACTTCCAGTCCTACCTAAAAGAAAAGAAAAGTTTTATTAGTAGTGGTCAATCCTTTGGATCACAGGTACCGCTTGACATTTAGTCAGTCACTCAATAAATATTATCTAAATTCTTTTTACGTTCTAGGCAAAATTCTGAGACGTGGATGTGCATGAGTAAGCAAACAAATAAACAAAAGCCCATATCCTAAAAAGTTCATGTTGTAGTTGGGAAGACAGTCAATGTAACTAAATAAAATCCTTTCAGATACTGATGCATTACCTAGATGAAAATATGATAATTGGATTACCTGGAAGAAGGTATCAATAGAAAAGAGAGGATGGCTGAGGACAGACTATTAGAACAATGATCTGAATAATATGATAATGACTGAGAGTTGCTTAGAGAGTCTCTAACAGAGACCAGCATGATGGGAAAGTCTGAGGTAAAGAACTCCAGGGAGGAAAAGCAGCAAGTTCAAATCCCTGAGGCAGGAATGAGCTAAGGGAGTGATTAAAAACCAGAAAGAAGGCCAGTGTAGATGAAATGTAATCAACGAGAGAAGTAATAAACAGAATGAATACTGAATTGATTGACAGGACCTTGGGCGTCATCATAAGGAGTTTCTATTTTACTCTAGCTCATTCTTGGAAGTCTTTATAAGGTTTTAATCATGAAATGACAAGATCTGATTTGCTCTTGAAAATTATCATCTTGGATGCCATGTGGAGAATGGAATATGGGTCATGATGTGGGTTCAGGGAAACCAGTGTGAAGGCTGATGCAATAATCCAGGAAGAAGATGGTGGTGGGTTGGCTCAGAGTGGTTGCCCTGGAAGTGGAAGCTGTTGAGTTACCAGTTGGAGGTACCAATAGGACTTACTTTTGGATTGGAATCTGGTTATGAAGAGGAAAAAGTAAAACTTGTAGTTTTGGTGCCCTTAGGGTGGGTGGGAAAGAATTGTGGAGGAGGGAATTCTGGAGTATGGGAGAAAGTCAGTGGTTCTGGCTTGGCCATGTTGGCCTTGAGATGCCTTGGAGGGACATCCAACTAGAGATTAATTTAGGTAGTAACATAAGTCTGGAGTCAGCAGAGAGGCTGGGCCAGAGCTGGATTAGATTACCTGGAAGAAAGTGTAGATAGAGAGGAGAGGGTGGTCAAGGCCAGGCTATTAGAACAAGCCAGGGTTTTCTGATCATATAAAGGAGGACCCAGCAGAGGAGACTAAATAACTGAGACATGTGGGAGAGCCAGGAACTAAAGTAAGCTTGTGGTGGGTGCTGCTTTGTCTCAGAGTCTCCAAAAACAGTGTTTCAAAAGGAGGGAATGACCAACATTGTCAATTGCTACCGAAAGGCAGAGAAAATGAACCTCTTGGCAATGGAATGTGAAAGGAGAGCTATAGAAGAAGTAAAAGTATAGAAGTAAAAGAATACATGCTCAATAATGGTAAATAATTTGGATCCAGGAAGGAGAAGGTAGTGTTTGACTACTGGGAGGGGTGGCAAGTTGGTTGGGGGAGAGGTGGGATCTCACTAGGAAGCCCCAATTACTCTTTTTTGTGGATGATATAATGACAAAATCTAGGGGCAAAACTCAGGTTTTAGAAGCAAGAGCAAAGGCTATACAACTAATCAGCCCAGACCAAATTTTGTGACTAACTGGCATTTGTTGAGCTCATGGAGCATGCTGTGTTTCTGTCCCAAGGCAGCCTAAAATGCCCTTGTAGCTTCTGACCTACACAGTTAATTTGCCAGGTTGGCTAAGGTTCTGTCTCTTTCAGCACGAGTCCTCCATGAAACCCCCTTCCAATGATGTGCTATGAAAGAGGGTGATGTTTCCAACTAGAGGAGCGCCAGTCACAGGAGGACACAATTAGAAAATGAGATAAGGTATAAAACGATCATGGCAATACTAGTGGGAAGCAGAGAGTGACATCACAGCAGTGTAGAAAACAGGCCATGGGGACACTGATATGGTTCCTTCTGAGCAGGGACAAGAAGGAAGTAGAGATCAGAATCTGCAGAGATGAGGGAAAGGGGAATGGTGAGAAGAGACTGGGTGACACGTGACTCTGTTAGACTACAAAGCCTGGTGTTAAAGAAAGTTTCAGTGTTGAGTTTGGAAAGGTAGGTTTCGGTGGAAATACAGAAAGCCTGAAAGTCAGGTTATGGGACCTGAGCTGTATTTGCAAAGAATGAGATCTCAGGAATATCTGATAGCAAGATGATGTGATGATCAAAATGGCAAAAGCATAAAGGGAAACTAGTCAAGCATTCAGCTTAGAGACCATTATAATATGCCTGGTGGGACATGCTCATAGCTTTCCAATAGATTATATAATTTCAAAGTAACAATGTGTTCTAAGGGAAAATATGCATCAGGGATGGATTCTATGAAATCTCTTTTCTTCTTTTCCTTTTTTTTTTGGTTTATTTTTGACTGTAGTGTATGTGTTAGTCCCTCAGTGGTGTCCAACTCTTTGTGACTCCATGGACTGGAGCCCACCAGGCTCCTGTGTCCATGGAATTCTCCTGGCAAGAATACTGGAGTGGGTTGTCATTCCCTTCTCCAGGGGATCTTCCCGACCCTGGAGGAAGGTTCGAACCCGGGTCTCCTGCATTGCAGGTGGATTCTTTACCATCTGAGCCACCAGGGAAGCTATTCTCTTGGAAAAAGAAAACATGAAATGTCTTCCACACACTTTACCCCAGCCAGAATGACCTACTTTAGAATCACCTCTCCTTCTTTTTTAAAATTTAAGAAAAAAATGGAATTTTTCTCTCCAGCCTTTTTATTCTGGCTATAGCCCCTATTCTTAGGTAGGCTTGAAGCAATGGTAATTAAATATTCAATTTCTGCAAAAGGGAATGACTAGAAAATAGTATATTGGAGAAGGAAATGGCAACCCACTCCAGTGTTCTTGCCTGGAGAATCCCAGGGACGGGGAAGCCTGGTGGGCTGCCGTCTATGGGGTCGCACAGAGTCGGACACGACTGAAGTGACTTAGCAGCAGTAGCAGCAGAAAATATTACACAAAATCTCTGGTCACACCCTAATGCCATTTATATGAAGACATAAAGGAGGTTATTATTCATATCTGACCACAGTTTCCAAAGCCTGAAGGAAATTTGAAGGATGTTATGTCACACTTAACTAACCCCACGGGTCAGAGCTTGATTTTGGCTGCCTGGCACTTGAAACTGTGTTTGTGGAATGGGACAGGTTTCAGTCAGTTTGAATTCAATTGCTGGAATGAAAGGAACATGTTCTCTTGCACAATCATGTCAAAGAGAATTCTTTCTAGAAATACTCCAAAAACAGACTTACCATACTAGCTGACCCTTCTCTGCCTTGGGCCAGTTTTTGTAGTCTCTCAGTTTATATAGTTTTCATAGCTTCATAGTTTTCAGTTTGCAGACCTCCAGACATTGCTCTAGAATTTCTTCTCTACTTTAACTAGCTTGTGTTCTTAGGTTGACCCCCAAATTTCAATCATTGCAAAATGCCTCTTTTTGGATCAGATAAGCCTTTGGGAATTTAATACCTTTTTAAAGAAAATAACACTTGGCTGCTATATAAACAGAACTTTAAAACTAGATCGATGTTTTCACAAGTCTCTAGAAATTTTACTTTAAAATAGAACAACAAGATATTTGATTTTTTTTTTCAAAAATATTTGGAAATTTTACTACAAAATCTAAAACCAAGAAGATGTCTGAAATATTATTTGAACCAGGCAGAATTCCTCAAGAAGCTTCTCTTTTTGTCCTTTTTATACTTCTCAATAAAGCATAAGCTCTGCATCAGGAAACAGCTGCTTCAAACACCCTGAGCCCACTTGTGCATTTATGAAGAGATGGAGCAGGAGGATGGCTTTTAAATCACTGAAACCTAGTAGCGTCAGAACTGTGGATAAATTGAAAAAATGAAGAAAATGCTTCTCATGTATTCCAAATCAACTACTAAAAATTCAGAGTAGGGTTCCTGACAATGGGAGTTATGCCAAATTTAGACATACTGGTGGGTACATTCATTACTGGGAGCATAGCTAAGTACGGCCATCAACTGGAAAGTGACTGTCAGCACAACTTTGATCCAGGATCTCACTTACACATTTGCAAATCATCAGCATTTACCATGGGCCCACATTGTGGTTTGTATGGCCCTTTGATGTCCAGCCCCCTGTTCCACCTTTCTCTCTTCCCATTTCTCCGTCACACAGTTAGTTTCTCAAATTGATCTCCAAAGGGAAATCTGTATGTCAAGCTAAGTGTTTTTGGCTCATCTACTGTCTCCTCATAAGCCCTCTTTATCTTATTTCTTTAGTGGGTCAAAAGAAAATTATATATTCCTCTTCCTTCACTGATTACACTGGTAGCTCAGCTGGTAAAGAATCCACCTGCAATGTGGGAGACCTGGGTTCAATCCCTGGGTTGGGAAGATCCCCTGGAGAAGGGAAAGGCTACCCACTCCAGTATTCTGACCTAGAGAATTCCATGGACTGTATGGTCCATGGGGTCACAAAGAGTCAGACACAACTGAGTGACTTTCACTTCACTTCACTTCCTTTACTAATATTTTCCATAGAGTAAATGAGGAATACATAATTTTCAATTTAAAATAAGAAATGGTTATCAAAAGAGGATAAAAATGGATTTTTTTCTCAAAAGCACATACTGAGTAATAAGAATGGAATGAAACACCTAAATATTTTAAAGCTTATATGGAGGTGGTAGAGAGGAATGGAAGGGACAGAAAAAACATGTTATCACTTGTTTCCAAAACAAGTTATTCTGTGAAAAGTGGGTTTACAGGATGCTATTTAATGCCCACTCAAAGTGAGTTGTAGTTAAAACTCTGAACTCTAAGTTTATTTTCTTAAAATTGAAGATTTTGGAGAACATTTTACTTATCCTCAACATTAATTCCTTTAGGTGTAGAAAAAAGAGAGCTTTGAAAAAAATCTTAAAATGGACAAATTTGTAGAAAATCAACAATATTGAATACATATAACCTTTTTGCAAACTTCAAAAACAATATTGGTGAAAAGGAAAGATAGGAAACAAACATATTCAGACCTTGCTTCAAATGATTTGTTCCACTACTTACTGTCTGAAATGGACATAATAATGCCCCTAACTTGGTAGGAAGGCCTGAGGAGTAAATGAGATACTACCTATCAAATGCTCACATACAGAGTGTGAGATTCAAAGCAGGCACATGGTAAAAAGTCTCTTTACTTCCCTCTCCAATCTAACCTTCATGCCCACATACACAAAACACTACTTAAAAACTGCCCCCAGAATATTTTTACACACTGGGGGGTACAACAAACAATTTCAATGTAAGCTAGAGACTAATTTATGAATGTATCCAGGAACATACCATTAATACTATTCTGATGTTTTAGGGTAGCCCCAGATGATCTCAGAAAGGGGCAGAAGAAGACTGTGATGGCTCACCAGTCCTCCTCTTGGATCTTTATCAATGAAAGGACATTCATTACTGGGTAACTATACACCTATAGCTATATGCCTTATATATTATTTTGGTCATCAGTCATTTGTGGGTTATACCTTATGTTTATTATGCATTTTGTCATTCTAACCGTCATTTGAAAACTTCAACTGTACTGAAAAAAACTGGAAAATGACATCATTACATTTTCTAACTATTCTCATTTTCCTATAAAAAGAACCCAGTGATATATATATTATAAAAATTATGTGAGGGCTTTGTAAAATATTTCAGAACATATGAGATAAACAGTGTCTAAATTTGGTTTTCCACAGGAATTATAATAAAGTCTAAATGTATATCAATAAAAAAGCATGACATACGAGCCATAAGATCAATGATACAAATCATCAGTTGAGACTTTGAATAACAAATTAAGACTGCGAAGCCATAGCCTATCATGGAACAATCACTCTATTTCATAAGTAGTGGTCTAATTTCACCAAAAGCTAAATTTCTATGTTAATAGTTGGCACAGTTCTCAGGAGCAGCATTCAGTAAAAGATCTAGGACTCATCATAAATGATGTATCAAAGAATTAGCCCACAGGCCTGAACCAGACTTTCTTGTCCTATCCTGTCCTTCCCTTCCTTGCTCTTTAGGACACAATTCATTTTTTACTGTTTCTCTCTTGATGTTAGGTTATGTAATAGACGACCAGTAGCTATAGTTATTTTCTTATACACAGCAAATAGTGTATATCATGTTAGTTTAGGTATAATAGAGCAGGGATTTGAAAAACTTTAAGAGTAATGATAAAAATGAACCTGGCTGAGCTAAAGCAGAAGCTGAATAAGAGAAAGACACAAAGGTAAGAAAAAAAAAAAAAAGTGGCCCTGAAACGTGACTCATGTCTTACAGGAAAGAGAAACAAAGCCAAATAAATAAAGGATCAAGTAGTATAAATGGTGCAGGACTGCACAATGGGAAAGCAAAGAGAACAGATATGGTCAAAATGGAATCAAAGCCACAGGTGGAGGATGAGCAAGAAATGTGCGAAATGGGAAGAAGGCAGAATGCAAAAGATAGAGAATGCACTCATTCATTCCTCAGATACTAGTTAACTGCTCCCTGTGGACAGGCACTCTTGTGGACCCTGAGAGTTCAGGGATGAATGAAATAAACCTTTACCCTGATGGGCGTGCTGTCTGTCAGTCGTGTCCAACTCTTTGCGACCCCATGGACTATAGCCCACCAAGCTCCTCCATCCACAGGACTCACCAGGCAAGAATACTGGAGTGGGGTGCAATTCCTCCTCCAGGGGATCTTCCCAACCCAGCAATCAAACCGGCATCTCCTGCAGTGTCAGCTAGTCAGTCAGTTTTGTTGCTCAGTCATGTCTGACTCTTCTTGACCCTGTGGACTGCAGCATGCCAGGCCTCCCCGTCCATCACCAACTCCTGGAGCTTACTCAAACTCATGTCCATTGAGTCAGTGGTGCCATCCAACCATCTCATCTTCTGTCATCCTCTTCTCCTCCTGCCTTCAATCTTTCCCAGCATCAGGGTCCTTTCCAATGAGTCAGCTCTGTGCATCAGGTGGCCAAAGTTTTGGAGTTTCAGCTTCAGCAACAGTCCTTCCAATGAATATTCAGGACTGATTTCCTTTAGGATTGACTGGTTGGATCTGCTTGCAGTCCAAGGGACTCTCAAGAGTCTTCTCCAACACCACAGTTCAAAAGCATCAGTTCTTTGTTGCTCAGCTTTCTTTATAGTCCAACTCTCACATCCATACATGGCTATGGGAAAAACCATAGCTTTGACTAGATGGACCTTTGTTGGAAAAGTAAAATCTCTGCTTTTATTAATGTCTCAGCATATTAATGCTATCTAGGTTGGTCATAGATTTTCTTCCAAGGAACAAGGGTCTTTAATTTCACAGCTGCAGTCACCATCTGCAATGATTTTGGAGGCCAAGAAAATAAAGTCTATCACTGTTTCCACTGTTTCCCCATCTATTTGCCATGAAGTGATGGGACCGGATGCCATAGTCTTAGTTTTCTGAATGTTGAGCTTTAAGCCAACCTTTTTACTCTCCTCTTTCACTTTCAGCAAGAGGCTCTTTATTTCTTCTTCGCTTTCTGCCATAAGGGTGGTGTCATCTGCATATCTGAGGTTATTGATATTTCTCCTGGCAATCTTGATTCCAGCTTGTGCTTCTTCCAGCCCAGCGTTTCTCATGATGTACTCTGCATATAAGTTAAATAAGCAGGGTGACAACATACAGCCTTGACGTACTCCTTTCCCTATTTGGAACCAGTCTGTTGTTCCATGTCTGATTATAACTGTTGCTTCCTGACCTGCATACAGATTTCTCAGGAGGCAGGTCAGGTGGTTGGGTATTCCCATCTCTTTAAGAATTTTCCACAGTTTGTTGTGATCCACGCAGTCTAATGCTTTGGCATAGTCAGTAAAGCAGAAATAAATGTTCTTCTGAAACTCTCTTGCTTTTTCTATGATCCAATGTATGTTGACAATTTGATCTCTGGTTCCTCTGCCTTTTCTAAATCCAGCTTAAACATCTACAAGTTCATGGTTCACATACTGTTGAAGCCTGGCTTGGAGAATTTTGAGCATTACTTTATTAGTGTGTAAGATGAGTACAATTGCACTGTAGTTTGAGCATTCCCTGGCATTGCCTTTCTTTGGGATTGGAATGAATATTGACTTTTTCCAGTCCTGTGGCCACTGCTGAGTTTTCCAAATTGTTGGCATAATTGAGTGCAGCACTTTCACAGCCTCATCTTTTAGGATTTGAAATAGCTCAGCTGGAATTCTATCACCTCCACTACCTTTGTTCACAGTAATGCTTCGTAAGGCCCACATTACTTCACATTCCAGGATGTCTGGCTCTAGGTGAGTGATCACACCATCGTGATTATCTGGGTCATGAAGATCTACTTTGTAAACTTCTTCTGTGTATTCTTGCCAGCTCTTCTTAATATCTTCTGCTTCTGTTAGGTCCATACCATTTCTGTCCACTATTGAGCCCATCTTCGTGTCAATGTTCCCTTGGTATCTCTAATTTTCTTGAAGAGATCTCTAGTCTTTCCCATCTATTGTTTTCCTCTACTTCTTTGCACTGATCACTGAGGATGGCTTTCTTATCTCTCCTTGCTATTCTTTGGTGGTTTTTTGTTTGTTTTTTGTTTTTTTCATTTATTTTTATTAGTTGGAGGCTAATTACTTCACAACATTGGAGTGGGTTTTGTCATACATTGACATGAATCAGCCATGGACTTACATGTATTCCCCATCCTGATCCCCCCTCCCACCTCCCTCTCCACCCGATTCCTCTGGGTCTTCCCAGTGCACTAGGTCTGCATTCAAATGGGTATATCTTTCCTTTTCTCCTTTGCCTTTAGCTTCTCTTCTTTTCATAGCTCTTTGTAAGGCCCCTTCAGACAACCATTTTGCCTTTTTGCATTTCTTTTTCTTGGGGATGGTCTTAATCCCTGCCTCCTGTACAATGTCACAAACCTCCATCCATAGTTCTTCAGGCACTCTGTCTAACAGATCTAATCCCTTGAATCTATTTCTCACTTCCACTGTATAATTGTAAGGGATTTGATTTAGGTCATACCAAATGGTCTAGTGGTTTTCCCCACTTTCTTCAATTTCAGTCTGAATTTGGCAATAAGGAGTTCATGATCTGAGCCATAGTCAGCTCCTGGTCTTGTTTTTGCTGCCTGTATAGAGCTTCTCCATCTTTGACTGCAAAGAACATAATCAATATGATTTCAGTGTCAACCATCTGGTGATGTCCACGTGTAGAGTCTAATCTTATGTTGTTAGAAGAGAGTGTTTGCTATGATGAGTGCATTCTCTTGGTAAAACTCTGTTAGCCTTTGCCCTGCTTCATTCTGTAATCCAAGGCCAAATTTGCCTTTTACTCCAGGTATCTCTTGACTTCCTACTTTTGCATTCCAGTCCCCTGTAATGAAAAAGACACCTTTTTTGGGTGTTAGTTCTAGAAGGTCTTGTGGGTCTTCATAGAACAGTTCAACTTCAGCTTCTTCAGCTTCTTTACTGGTTGGGCCATAGACTTAGATTACTGTGATATTGAATTGTTTGCCTTGAAAACGAACAGAGATCGTTCTGTTGTTTTTGAGATTGCATCCAAGTACTTCATTTTGGACTCCTTTGTTGACTATGCTGGCTACTCTATTTCTTCTAAAGCATTCTTGTCCACAGTAGTAGATATAATGATCATCTGAGTTAAATTCACCCATTCCAGTCCATTTTAGTTCACTGATTCCTAAAATGTCGATATTCACTCTTGCCATCTCCTGTTTGGCCACTTCCAATATGCCTTGATTTATGGACCTAATATTCCAGGTTCCTATGCAATATTGCTCTTTACAGCATTGGACTTTTCTTCCCTCACTAGTCACATTCACAACTGGGTGTTGTTTTTGCTTTGGGTCCTTCTGTTCATTCTTTCTGGAGTTATTTCTCTGCTGATTTCCAGTAGCATATTGGGAACCTACCAACCTAGGGAGTTCATCTTTCTGTGTCCTATCTTTTTGCCTTTTCATTCTGTTCATGGGGTTCTGAAGGCAAGAATACTGAAGTGGTTTGCCATTCCCTTCTCCAGTGGACCACATTTTGTCAGAACTCTCTGCCATGACCCATCCATCTTGGGTGGCCTTACACAGCATGGCTCATAGTTTCATTGAGTTAGACAAGGCTGTGGTCCATGTGATCAGATTGGCTAGTTTTCTGTGATTGCAGTGTCAGGAAGGTTCTTTACTGCTTGCACCACCTGGGAAGCCCCTACCCTCATGGGGCTGCCTCCTAAAAAAGGGAAATAGTATGTAGGATAAGTATTAAACAACATGCACTATCAGATGCTGAAAGATATGAAGAATAAAAATAAAGCTGGAAATGGAGTAATGATCACTGGGGGTGGAGATCAGTGAGTTATGATTTCATATACAAATGCCAGGAAAGGCCTTAGGGAAGAGGTAGCCTTGGGAGAAAAGCCTGAAGG